TGCATGCATGCATGCATGTATATACACGCCAGACATGTATAGGTATGTACATATGTATAGCAGACCCATTTTTGTAGCATCTTTGCATTCTAACAACCCCAAGCACTTCCAAGGTACACGCAGCATTACACCACCACTTCTAATCCTGAGTAATGTAGTATTGAAGGTCAATTCTTACCCGTGCATAGTCAGACGTCAACGGGTGCAACACAGCGGTATTGATCGGCTACGTATTCAACGTTCTTCCCACAACAACTATCACGGGCAGGAAGCACCGTCAATTTCTTGACTTTATCCAACCAAGTCTTGGGGTAATTAGGCCTCATAGACTCCACACATCCTTCGCTGAGCCGTATATCCCATCCCTGCAAGACTTTTCATCCCATCAGGCCAGTCCACCCAAGCTTGCATGCCCACCAAACGAACGACCAACTGAAACAGAAACCCACACACAACCACTATAAACACACAAAGCCACTGAAAGTAGTGAGTTGCAACAACGCAGGCCCCACAGCCTCCTCTTCTGTATGTATATGTATATATGGTTATGTGTATGTGTCGGTGTCGGTGTGCGTGTCTGTGTATGTGTTTGTATGTATGTGTATGTGTACGTGCGTGTTTGAGTGTGTTTTTTTGCATATGTCTATGTACATGTACATCTGCATGTATATGTGCAGGTATATGTATATGATATGTATATGAATGTGCGTTTGAATATGTATATGAGCATGTAAATGTAGATGTGCGTAGATGTAAATGTGTATATAGGCATACATGTATACACATATGCACACCCCCATATACCTGTGTGCGCGGATCTATCCATATAAAATAAACACACATGTGTCTGTATGTATGTGTGTGTATGTATCTGTGTATATGTATATATATATATATCTACTGAAGTTCAATGATTCCAGCTCTGTGCCAGCGCTCGGGCAAGCTGTCCCTGGTGGACCTGGCCGGCTCGGAGCGTGTCAGCGAGGGAACCCGGTGAGTTTAGGCTTCGGATTTGTCAATTTGTGCGTTCGGGGCATCGGGTTCTTCGGCAGTGCGCTGATTCTGCATCCGACCCTTTTTGTGTAAGTCCTCCGGATCAGATGCTCTGTAAGGTCGGAGCCACTGTGTGGGCGAAACCCTCGAAGAGGCCAAGAAGATCAACTCTTCGCTGACGGCCCTTGGCAAGGCTCAGTTCTCTGTCCGCCAGGGATCTAGGGTGTCCATGTACAAAGGTTGAGCGACTTGGAGGATTCAGTGTTAAGGCATGACGAGTGGAAGGGAGGGACCTTTGCATGTTTTTGCAGTCTTGCTGTATGTATATACGCACATACATGCGACAGACGAAGGTTTACTTAGTCCTGTTCGCACTCTCACGCATCCAAGTCATGTACCTGCATGCACATTAGAGGGTTGTGTCACAGGCACTCTCAAACAAGCCACTTTGTTAACAGGCCGCAACTATGCAAACACACGCACACACAGAGACAAATTAGTTTAAGAGGTTGGAAACCGTTTGGGTCGCCCTGCTTCAGAGAATACTGCTCGCTTTGTTTACGATGAATTGGGCGTTACTTCGACCGAGTTTTAGTTTGGCTATACCATGAGTTGCATCATCCTGTCTACTCGAAAATTGTTGTCCACAACCCACCCCATCGCAGGTCATTGATGCATTGGTGGAGCGGCGCGGGCATATTCCGCATCCCCGGCATGACTTAGCAGGTTTGGCTGAAGACTCGCGAGTATATCAAAGTCAGGTTAGTAAGAATTTGAAGGTTTCAATTGCTTCACCGGTCGCTTTGGACTTGCTTTGTCCTTTGTGGCGGCGGTGGTGTGTGTACCTGCGTTGACGTAAGAGTTAGAGTCAGAGACTGCAACCTGGGAAAAACTGGTGTAATAGAATCTGGAGCAGGTACCGTGACTCAACGCTGACCCGGGTGCTGGAAGAGGCAAGCAGCTGAAGGTATTGAGTAGCCGGGAGTGGAAGACTGCAGACAGTTCGTGAAGAGAGCCTGTCAATGTAATGCATGTACGACCCTGTGCGTGGCTTCGCCCTTTACCCCGCAGGGTAGGGCGTCAAAGTTGTCTGTCAGGCGCTGGGTGGCAATTCCCGCACCACACTTCTGGTGGCTGCATCGGCTTGCGCCAGGGCCTCCGATGCAGTCTCCGGACATGGGGGTTTGAAAAGTGAACCCGAGCCCTGTTACCGAGGCACAGTACCTGGACGAAACCATTTGCTCTCTTCGGTTCGCTTCAAGAGCACAGAAGGCTGCCCTGGTGACCTAACTTGGCTAAGAAGTGTGTCCGAAAGTGTCCAACAACCATATTCAAAGCCATGTTCAGCCCTTACATCCACTGCAGGTAAAGTCTTTTCTTCCGATGTTGAGAGCGAGGGCTAGAGACTAGTAAGATTCCCCAGCAGAGCAGATCGGCCCAACGGTGAGCAGAAAGCATGATTCAGCCGCAGGCAATTGCTGGCAACTACAGTGCTGTTGCTGGGTCGTGCAGGTGAGCAATTTTGCCCAAGTGAACTTCGTCTACACCGCGGAAGAACTCCTGCCTCTGGCAACTTGTCCAGCATGTCAGACAAGCAATGTTGGAAGCCAGGCAGACACGGATGGTATGCATCGCTTAATTGGCGAGTGTTCTGAGTCCGTGTTTGCCAAGATTTTGTTCGAAGTCTTGGAAGCATTTCAAGGTAAGCCAGTTGCAGCGTGAGCTTGCTGCTGCCCGACGTGAGCCGCGCCCTCAAGAAGTGCGCAAGGAATCTGCGCCGAAGGGAGCAATATCGTGTTGGAGTTCTGCTGACTTGACTGCATGCCGAGGCTGGCGCATCAGACTTTGTCAACAAAGTCGCTCAGCTTGCCGCCCGAAGCTTGGCCTAGCAGGGCCTGGCCAGTGCCAGACAACAGCGAGTGTCTCACTGAGCATGCATAGAGTGACTGTCATTGTGTAGTTGCTGCCTGAGTGACGGGGCCGTCAAGTCAAGTGAATTAGGCGGGGTCATGTGTTCACCATTGCGAGGCGGGCACGCGCGAGGACAAGCTCTACATGCTCAACAGACGACACCAAGGCATCGGAATTTCGATCTGTTCCAAAGGCTCCCTCAATATGCAGCAGCGCATGGGGTTTCTGACAATCAGGGATACCTTGGCGGCCCTTATGCTATAGGGATGATGCAACTTACAGGTCTAAGAGCAGTGGGTTGCTTTGTGATGCTTATGCCACCTCCTCGAGCGCAGCCTTTGCATCCTGAAAAACTTTCTTTAGACCACGGAGAGTACTCGAATGTTTCAGATGGAGTGGAACCCACTAGCATCAACGGGTTGGGACCCGTTTGGTAATTCCCGGTCATACTGTGCACTCTCTCAGACATCTTGAGAATTGCTGCTAGGAGTCGTTTGTCCGCATTCCGTTGCCAAAATGCATTGAGCGTGTCCGGAGCTCAGCTAGCCACGTGTGTTTGAGTTCTTGGTTCCGTGGAGAACACGTTGGTGCCCAGGATGTGTCCACCTTGTCCACCGGCCTGTCGCGGCACAGCCACATTCCCAGAGTTGTGCAGCAAGTTGAAGTCGATAAGTAAGTTGGGCCGTGCATGCAGATGATGGAGGCGGGAGGCAGACGACCCCTGGCCCCAGACTTCGGGGTCAGATCAGACAAGCCAACAGCTGCTAGCAGTCAGCTCCACCACAAATCCCACCGCAGCCCCGCAGGGCAGTAGGACCATCTGTTTTCAGGCACGCTCTCGGCGGAGTCACCTCGCTCGGAGCAAAGCCAAGGGCCGAGCAACGTCAAGCACCGTGCTAGTCCTGGGCTCCCTTTCTGCTGTGTTGAAGGCTCGCCGAGTGCACCTCCGTCAAGGCTCAACCGGAATGGCTCGCACGGTCTTCAGTACGAGTCGATAAGACACAGAACGGTCTCTCCAGAGCCGATGGAATAGCCCCACCCAGGACCTGGAAAAAGGGTACTCGAAGAAACAGCTCAACATGACAGGTCGGGCGCCGATGAGTTGGAGGATTCTGCGTCGTCGGCGTCTTAGTGGTCCCTGTGCTTGAATTTCACAGCGAGCCAGCCCCTCGAGACCGAGAGAGAGAGTGAGAGGGTGCAGGGGGCAACCTCTGCACCGCAACCCTGGCGAAAGAAAGACAGGGTGAACAAGACAGGTCCGAGTGCTCGCAAAGCCGTGGTGATATGTTCTTTTTCTGGCACCCGCAACTGTCGGGGGCACACCTCCGCGCGGTGGAGGGGTAAATCCATTTTGCCGCGCCTTGTGCGCCGGGGACGTGGACCACCACTTGGGTTCGGAAGAGAAAGGGAAAGAGACAGGACCTCCAGCCGTTTTCGTGATGCTGTGGCGGATGTTGGTCTCGGACTACAATCGAAACGCTGCAGCAGCCAGTCCTCACTCGTTAAAAATAAGAGGACTCTGGGTGCACAAATACCTCCAGACCAGCCGGCGTGGGCGTTCGCATCTGCAGAGACTCCGTTTTTTGTGTGTCTTAGCAAGGGAAACAGACCTCAAGTCCACTGCAAGAGACAAAGAGATAGGGGATGTGGTGCTGGCAGAGGGTCGCAGGCCGGTCTTGCATGCTCAAGGCCAACATACGATGGTAGCTGTGAGCTGGCTCTCTTGAAGCCATTCTCGGCCGTGTCTGAGGCTGTCGCCACCCCGGCCTTCCAGTGAGGTAGCGGACTCGGGCTCGTGTGATCCATGTTTGCTGCTTAATTTCTTGCTGCATCCCGAGAGACTCACAAACTTGCCGCGTTTGGCAACGTCTGGTGACCAAGTCTGGCGTATCTCGGGGCCTTTGATGATCTTTGGTGTGTTGGAGCACAACGTGCAGTGCCTTCCCAGGCATTGGCGCAAAGTGCTGCTGAAGCTCTGCGATGCTTGGAGGAGATGCTCCTAGCACAAGAGGAGGTGGGCCCTTCCGGATACAACTTGGGCCTGCGACCTCTCGAACTCCTCATTCAGGAGTTGGCTGGAAAGTTGCGGAGCGTGACTGCATGAAACCTCATCCTTCACTGCCCTGTGATGTCACACACTTAGGATTCGTCTCTTTGTGTCGAATGCAGGGTTGTCGAAGTTCTCACTGTTGTAGGCATTGGAGAAGGCCCACCTCCTGAGTGTGAATCGGGAGGCGCCATGTGGGACGCAGCAAAGGTCGAGTGCAGTTGAACATGTTGCCCCGCTTTGTTCGGGATCCTGCACAGCCCTCGCTGCCCTGGGCACCAGAACTGCTATGTTGATCGACAAGAAATGATGAATAAGACTTCGTGCTCGCGGACTGCCTAATGCGGTATGTCACAAGCTCGAGGCACGACCGTCCAGGCAGACGAGCTGCAGCCACATGGCCATAGATAGAGTTGCGGTGGAGGTGCCAAGGTTCGGACTCGGCTGATTTTCCAGGCATCATGTTGCACATGCTATGCCCATGCCGGTCCAATGCTTGACTCCTTGACGGACAAGAAGCTCAGGTGATCCGGCATCGCAGAGCCCTGTGAGCCCAATCAGTCGAAAGACTGTGACGTCAGCGGGATCAGATGAGCTCGACCTCAAGGACAGCAGCTCAACGTGTCGGGGTGTTCGCATTACGGGTTGCTTGTCCAGGCATTGGAGCCTTGTTCGGGCTCGGATCAGGTTCCAGCACCGCAGGCCTTGAGGATGGCAGCACATTCGTGGTAGAGGCCTTGATGACAGCATGTCTCGCCAAACTGTTGCGATGTTTTCGTCGAGAAGTTTTGCACTCCTGCTGGACAAGACGAAGCATGGCCATGCAAGACGGCAAAACAGCTCCTAGCATCTTCCGGTTTGTCGGTTCGCAGCGGCGCCTGGAAGGCTGCCAAAACATCGCCACATTAAATACTGTGCGACTCCACATGCCGATCGCAAAATTAGAACCTACCGTAGGAGCACGGGCGAAGTGCGCAACGCTAAACTCTAAACCCTAAACCCGCGTTTAGACGTGGGGGTCGACGTGTCCGCACCTTCACAGGACGGGCGCGCGCCTCCGAGCTGGAGCTGCGAAGGAGAAAACGTCCTGAGCTCAGAGCAGCTAAAGGCCTCAAGGCCATTGCTCTTCGTGAACTCGTCTACTGGATGTCTGGGCTTTAGGGGTTTAGGGTTTAGGGTTTAGGGGTCCACTGGTATCCCAAGAGTCTCCCAAGAGGCGATGCGCTGAAGCCCTGTCGAATCGCCTTGCCGCGAAGGCCTTTGCATTGCGATGGCGCTGTTTGCGACATGCGGTGGAGGCTCGGGTAAAACTACGTCCTGACGCTCTGTACTAATGGATCCTGTAAATGTATGTATGGGCATGCATACAATAGGTGTCTACGCCATATACATAAAAAAATGTGAACACAAGTATGAATGTAGATAACAAGTTAAATGTTAGTACGAAAACTAACACACATTACACAAGAGTGATAAGAGTGTATGCATGTATGTATGTACATATGTATATGTATGTGTATGCACAGACGTAAATACATATCGGACAGAGAATGAAGGAGAGGGTACATAGGCTTAACACGGTGGCTCGAGTTGGCCTTTCAAGCCTTGGCCACTCCCCCCCCTGCGAACTGGTCACTACTTCAGTTAAGTTGTCCCATGCTCCTGTGCCGCACACGATAAGTATACCCCACTCTCTACAAACTCGGCGAAAGGCCAGGGCACTTCGCTGGCGCTTGCAGCGCCCTTGCCTCAGGGTGTTGAGCAAGGCTGCAGGCCTGATAGGCTTAGGCCGCGACATCATACTAAGACAGCAGGTGTTGCAGCATTGCATTCTACAGAATTTGGCTGTGACATCCAAGGCCAGTTCACGGCACATAAAAGTTTCCATGAAAGGCGAACGTCACCGCGCGGAGAGCGTGCAGTACGAGCTTCAGCTGAGGCCCGGTCGTTGTAGCTGGCTCCAGGTTCTACTGGAGCAACAGAAGCCTGCATACCAGCTCCCAAAAGCACTCATGGGTCGCCAGCACTTTGCAAAGCAAACTCCTGTCTATGTCGCGAAGCCTTGGCTTGTGAGGAATCGCTACACCTCAGACCTCGAGAGAAGACTAGAGGCTGGCGTGATGTTTCCTGTGATCTTCAGCAGTCAGCAGCTAAAGTTGATGCAATTCTTTCCAGAGCTGGCAGTCGCAGCCTGACTGCGTAAAGCTAGACAGCTTTGAATGAGAGCTGCAAGGAGCAAGGTATGAATAGGGGATCCTTCGGTAGATTCGACCTGTTCGAAATCTCCAGTTCACATCGCCCCTCTCCACCCTTATTAGCTAATCCTTATGGCACCCCTTACAAGTCTCCTTGTGCTACACACGTCTAACCCTCATGAATCATGAACTTATTTCACCGGCCCTATGTAAACAGAACGTTCTTTTGTCGAGGCAGCCCAGGCAGAGCTCACTTTGCTCCGGGCTCCGACAGATGCGTCCGGCTACGAGCTAAGTTTTATGTCATGCTTTAGGGTTTAGATTTAAGGGGTTATGGGGTTTAGGGGATTGTAGGGTTTAGACGGCTAGGCAAGGGTTTAGTTGTTGGCTTTGAGGTTAAGAATGATGCAGCGAGTGAAGCTTCTGCTTAGGAGGTAGCTTACAAAGATCGCTTCTTCAGGTTCTGTGGGTTTGAATTCCCAAGTCGCACATAGGATGATGCAGATTGTCAATGGCTGATCTTGCATCCGGCTCGCCTCGCAGTCCAACGGCCGAACTTAAGCACCCTAAACCCTAAACCCTAAACCCTAAACCCTAAACCCTAAACCCCTAAACCCCTAAACCCCTAAACCCTAAACTAGGCCTTTAGTGGCCCAGGTCTTGAGAGGCGGTGCGACTCACCGACTAAGCGGCGGCTGCAGCCTCAGAGAGAAACTCGTTTTTTGTGTGTCTTTCATTAATAGTAATAGTAATAATAATAATAGTTTTAATAATCATAATAATAATAATAGTTTTAATAATCATAATAATAATAATAGTTTTAATAATCATAATACTAATAATAATAATAATAATGTTGCCGGTTGAGAGCGCCCACTGGAATCGCAGACGGCATCGACTGCTCTAACCCGACGCCTGACCTGCCGAGTAATGGAATGCGCTTTGCCTGAGCCGCTTTCCCTCTTAATCTCCGGGACCCTGCGAATCATCGTCCTTAGATAGGAAACCCAATCCCAATTGGCGGCAGATCTGGTGCCAAGGACTGGCTTTTGAGATCATTGCCTATCATGCGTACTTCACACAAGAGTGCTATGACCTACCATGCGAAACGGCTCTACGGATGATATGCATAGACATAAACCCACCCATGATATACAACATGCCCATGTCGTAACACTGGAGTTGGCACAGAGAAGTGCGGAATTGTAGGGCAGCACACATAACTCCCCGTCGCCCCCGGTTCCCTGTCCCAGGCTCAAAGCCTCAAAGTCGATGCCTCGCTTTTCCTCGCCGTCTGACGCAAAGTCCAGCGAGGTCGCCACTCGTTTGCGCCCGGGGATTTAGTCCTCGGGGGTCTCTCTTCACTCCGGACCTCCAAAGTTAACTAAACTAGCAGGTTTCAGTGAACAATCGGGGCTCAAGCAGCATGAGTTCCGGTACTGCACCGTAGCCCTTTGATTCGAGGGGTTATGGGCTCTTGCATACACAGTTCAAGTTTCCGGAGTATGTATGATTAGCGAAATTGCAATTTTGCAGCCTCCAACAACCGCCCCAAAGTTACCCCATTACCCCATCCTACGACATGAAGCCCTGCACATGAGCCAGAGTCTGCTTGTGCGACATGCCAAGAAAGAGTAATAGGACAACTTGGCATCAACCAAGTGTCTACGGTTAGCCGCTAGGATGGTGTGATGATTGCATCTGCACTGCTTGCACCCAAGGCCTTTGTGAAATACAGACTGTCGGTACAGGTCACATTATCACTACCGTGCTCACGAAGCCTGTGTTCTCTCGGATGCGAGTACTGGATTTGCCATTTTGTTGCATCTCTGTTCAGTAGCTCATAGGTGTTACCATCATGTTACATGTTGTGTAATCTCTGTCGTTCCATTCATTGCTGGTGCCGGCTGGGCATCGGCAAGATGCTTGGGCCTTGGGACAACTAAGTCTTGCTTGTTCCTCCGCAACTTTGCAGGCCGCACCGACAATGACCCATGCGAAGTCTCTGGGAGTCTGCATGGACACGAGGGATCAGCGCGAGACCAAGACGGCGGGCACATTCCATGACACAGTTCAGGGACCCCCTGACAGCAAGAAACGGATTTGCTCGACCAGAGTTATAACTTGTCTTCAACGTGCAGTGCTTGTGTGGCTCCCATGGCAGATCTGGGACAAGCGGCCTGACTCTGGCCCTTCTCCTGGACCCCAAATCCGACTTACGAAGCGCACCCCTCTGGTGTTCAGGCCCGACTCACCGACAAAGCGACGGCCTCGCCCCTAAATCTTGGGATATGGCAACATCGAGCTGAAGTTTGCTCGAAGTTGACGGTTCAGACAGACCGAGCCACCAATGCTTCCACCAAAACAGCAAGCCTTTAGCTGAACGTGCGCTCTGATGTCAGCCACTTCGTCAGTGAAGCCACCCTGCAGAAACCTCCAACCAAGCACCAGGACAAGGCTGTAGGCTTGCAGCTTGCTCAACCCCGACTTAGGCTCAAAGCCTCACGTTCTGTGCCACGCTTTGCACCATCGTCGCCCACGGATGCATGGGGTCCTGGTGCTGCCAGTGTGATGCTTGGGGCTCTCGCACTTCTATTCAAATGGCTTTTGTGCGACTTCTTGGTTTTTCGAGGGGTTTGGAATCGTGCCGAGCTGTGCACGGCCGAACCACCGTAAAGTACTTCGGTTGGAGTCCTCTTTGTGATTCATCCACGGTGTGGCAGGCAAGATAAGTAAGGACGCCCGCTTGCCCGGATAGCTGTTTCTCAAGACCAACCGCAGTATTCGTCTGGCAGCCATGGTGTATTTCAGTGTTTGCAAGGTTTGGGCTGTGGAGCTGGGTTTGGACGGTCGGCGAAAGATCGAAGCCCAGGCGTCGTCGAAGTCCATTGGCGTCGCCCCTGAGAACCCGTCTCAGCAGAACGATCAGTCTCGGACTTGGCTTCTTACAGCTGCTCTGAGTATACATGGGGGAAACCTTCATCCGCTTGTCTCAACGCGAAACCCTAAACCCGTGGCGAGTTTGAGCCCACAGGCTCCGGGCTCTGCGAGAAGCCCAGTGTGCCGGGCCCTCAGCGCCCAGAAGAAACCAGTAGAACTGCTCAAAGCCCAGGCCAAACCTGTTTTGGAGGTAGTTAAGGCCCTTTGTTCGTACAAATGATAACAATAATCGGTAATTTAATTATAAGCCCCTAAATATATTAGTAGTAATAACAATAAGAATAACGCTATAATACTCAGAATATCACTTTATGTATCGGTCACTTCGACTCTTTCAGACCGCGCCTTCCTTGAATTATGGGTCAGCCGGATGCGCCGCCGTCAACAGTACCCAGCATCGGAATGAGGGAGGTATGGGAGTTTCCGAAAATAAGGGGTACCTTATTTTGGGGTCCTTATAATAAGGATCCTACGATTTAGGGTGCTATATTAGGATCCCCTATTTTCGGAAACCCCCTTATGGTTGAGCGCTGAATGATTCGAAAAGCATGATTCGTTCCCTATCTGTCGCATGTCTGATGCATCAACCATGGTGAAAGCACAGAGACGTCCCCTGAACCCTACAAGAAACAGGCTGCAACATGCTGCAACCCACGTAGTCCGACGACCGGCGCAGGCTCTGCGAGGGGAGAACTTGGAGCTCAAGCAGGCAAATGCCACCCCTTTCCCACATCCTGTAAAAGGGAGGTACAAAGGATCCGGGAGTCAAAAGCCTCGAATAGACTCGATAAGTCCTGAAGGCTTGATTCAACGGCAGTCGCTTCGCCGTGGGTCTATGAAAAGTCGATTCCTGCTTTAGAGTCTTTCGGATCCTTGAACGTATGGTGTCAGCTCAATCATTGCAGAAATTATTTCTGCCTTGGCAAGCTGTTGGTCGTGATCGCCGGAGATGACCCGGATCTCCAGGTAAAAACACGGTCGTCTTCACTCGAAAAGCTGATATGCACGGATGCTTGCCAATCAGGAGGCGGCCAAACGCGAAAGTTATATCGTGGCACTGGCTCGTTTGGCCGGTGCTTGCACAGGTCCAATTCAATGTGCCAGCCCCTGCTTGCTGCCAGGCAGCCCTTGCCGCAGACAATGCTGCGAGCGAGGTCCCTTCTTCAGCAGATTCGGTGGCAGGGTCAGAGTTCAACATTATTCTCGGGCTGAAGCTTCTACGACCCTGGCATGTGAGCATTCAGTTTGGGTTGCCGCTGCTGGTGACTTTTGGCAGCAGCTCCCAGCAAGTTGCTGGAAACGTAGCTCTCAATCGAAAATTCTGAGTTTGTCGGCCGGAAATGTTCCCTGATCTGGCATCAACGGTTCAGGGATGCATTTCCTATGGTGTATTTTGCGAAATATTGGACGGATTCGGGCTCGTAAGCTTTCCAGCTCGGGCTTTGGTTGTCGATCGTGGAGACACTGGGAAGTTCTTCGCAGAAGTGGCTGGATTCGTTTTGCGGGCTCGGCAGCCAGTATTGCTCGTACTTGTATGATCTCGTAAATTGGTCCCCTGCGGATGATAGGTGCGAGTCGCGGCGCTGAAGCACGAGTCTAGCGTCAAGGCCGGGAGAGCCCTTGGTTTCACACGGACCCTTCAAAGTCTCGATGCATCGTATCACAAGAGCGCAAAGTCACAAAGCCCCTGTGCAAGAGGATGCGATGCTGGCTTGCCTCCGGAAGGCCCGTGGTTTGCAGTAGACGGCACTGGTGCTGCAGAAGCTGTGGCAAATCGATGTGAAGCCTGAACAGTTCGGGCGTTGCGAGTCTCTAGCGCTTGTTGTGAAGAATCCGCATATCCGTTTTGCACGGAGGAGACATGGCAGCCTCCGGAGGCTTGTGACGAAGAGTGCCCTAGTTGCATGCTGCATGAGGCCGAGGGGCCGAGGAGAAAGTCCTGGGAACCAAGGCTCGAGAAGCTCCTGGCAGCCGTTGCCACGCCGCTGCTGGAGGCAATGCAAACTCCTCAAGCGCCTGTCTCGGCGCCCTTGAGCGGGGGACCTAGACTCGCCTCATGCCAATCTAGGCCCATCTAGGCTCTAGGCCATTCAGTTTTATCATTCAAGTGAGTTGCCGGACAATCAGCTCGGCTGATCCGACATATCAGGCATCGCCGCGCCTCCAGCCGTCATGGCAAGGCGACCGCCGGCCGAAGACTCAGAGTTCGGACCCGACCTTCTCAGCCAGGCTACTGCTCCCGTTTCAGGCCTGCTTCGCGCCGATGACTCCCATGGCTGTGCAGAGATAACATTCGCAAGAAGGCCAGGATTCTGGATTTTGTGCGGCCTTGCCAGAATTGTCGGTGCGAGCTTCAGAGGGTAGAGCGGGTCTATCAGTCCGACGATCCTGTTCAAAAAACTCGCGAGCACTGGGGATGAGCTTCAGTTTGCAGTTGCGCTTCTCGCAAGACTCGAACCACCCTTGCCGACAGGAGTCCTGGTAAGTGATCTTCCACTGCCTCGAGTTCGACATTGAGTCGCGCCACGTTCACGCGATCTTTGTCCAGCCATCTTGTATACATGCTGCATCTTCCAGAGCTTCCGTCGTCCAACCTATCGTCGTTTTCCTAGTTCCTGGTCGTCCAACCTCGTGGGCTCCTCAGTATCTCCGAGCCAGCTCCGCAATCTGGTTTGCTAAGGCGTTCCTTGTGCGGCTCCCTCTTTTTAATTTAACACGATACGATACATTAAACTGATACTATATTTTACTATTATGCTATTGCTAGGGCTGGCCAAAGATCCCGTGGGTTTTCCTAGCCCAGGCTTGCGTTTCCTGCTTTCGAGAGGCTGATATATGTCTGGGAATCTCAAGGGACGCTACTCACTAAAATAATGAAAGGGCTGACTGGTTTTGTAGCTGTGTTGGGCCCTCTGTCTGACAACGCAAGCCTGGAAAGTTCAGACGTATGTGGAGCGCAGGGCGGTCAGTGATTGTTCGGTCCAACCCCTAAGTGGCTCCTAGAGTTGAGGCTTGGGCCCAGGCTTCGGGCTCCTTCAATATGATGCTAGCTGCTTTGCCCCGTAGAACCTGACGGCACGTGGCCTTTCTTTGGAAGGCCATTCAAGAAGATGTAGCGCTTTCACCTTTCCATCAGAGGTGCTCGCGCAGTTAGATCACTCACGCCGGAAGACGTAGGAGGCGGACCCCAGCAGCACGTGCCATCGTCTCTATGAGTGCCTCTTCAAGTCAGATCAACGCGCAGAGTCGTAGAGTCCTGAACTTCACCAAATCCTGATGGCCGTCGTCCTATAGAGCAGCAAAGGTAATCAAGGGATCGCCGGCGCCTCTTCGCTCTGTACATACGCAGACACTTTGCAGTCGCGGAACTGCACTTGCACCCCACCTGCTGTCAAGGCACTGGGATGTTTGGGACTCAGGTTGCCCACGCCTGCACCGGAGGTTAGCATCTTCCAACCAGTACAGCTTGAGCGTTACCGGTTGCTGGCACTTCCATGCAAAGCTAATGAGTCCCTTGAACCTGCAATAAATCTGTTTTCGACGACCTAAAGGTCTTCGCCTTCTCCCCGATCTTCACAGCTGTTAAGTTAATTCCGATTGAAATTCTGGCGAGCCTTGTGGCTGGTTTGACACCATTGACAAACAGCGAGTCGGTACTCCACTTCAGGGCCGAACTCAGCCGGATCAGGGGAGCGGTGTCTATGATGGAAGCCGCCCTCCATGGTGCTCACGCCTGTCAATGCTGCATTGCATCTATCAGAACATCTATTGTCGTTGCTTATGGTTACTGACGATGTGGTGGCTTCCTTGTGTACATTACTCCTGCTGATGTGGCGGGATGGATACTTCTTGAGGATAAAGACTGGTCATGGTGATGCACAAAAATACATAGCTTTTCCGGCTCCTGATTGCTCGGGGCAGATGGAAGATGATCGGTTCATCCTCCATGGAATATCAATCCTCGCCGACAAGTGATTTGCTGGCAATGCCAGTCAAAGAATAGTTGCCGCAGGAATGTCTTATGGGCAAATCAAATTGACAACACATTGTTCAAGTCCTATTAATCGCCAGCCGAGCTTGCATTTGAGAGACATGTCGCCATGTGGTTCATGCCAATGGAGTCAACTATGACCGTTTCATACAAATGCGATTGCTTCTGAGCTGTTGCCACGATGCCAGGCAGCAAGATGGCCTCAGGCGTGTGATTTTGCCTGAAGGTGCACGTGCACAATGATCTGGCATGCTGGATCTTTGCTGGCATGTTAGCCTCTCCGATCCGATCTTGTCGAAACGTGGCTCGTCTGTACAGTACGTGTGGACAGGTGAGCATGTGGGACAGGAGCCCAATACTCCGTGTTTTGTCGAAGCGCCTCCCTTTGAGCTTGCGCTGCTCAAGCCAGCAGTTTAGGTTTGGTGTCCAGTCGAGCAGTATCAGCAAGTTTTCGCTTGGACTTCCTGAGCCTGCAGCGCAGCTAGCTCCAACCCACTCCCACCCCAGTATGCCAATCCAGCCAGCCACGTACACAGCCGTCACAGAGCTGGGGATGCATGGCCTTATCCACGTGTATTTCAGGAGGTTCGTGCCTTGTTTGCAGTCAGCACCAGAAACTCCACAGGCACCAGCACTTTTCGGCCATCAGCCAACACAGAATAGGCTTGCACTGCAAGCACATTGCTACGCCTTGGTGCATTGCTTCTTGTGACGGTGTTCAATACGCGACTCGATCTCTGAATCCAGTCAATCAGCTCGCGCCACTGACAAGACAGCCTGAGTGCCTGAGTTTCTCCGAGCGACTGCCCCAAGGTGATCCAGACCGCCGGAGAGGAGCCGAAGCTTTTGCTCGCTACTGTGTAGGAGGAGTGTAGACTTGCAGTAAAGATCAGGAGTATGGGTATCTGAACTGGATCGGCAAGGTCCACTCGAGCGGCAACAACCTGTGTGCCCGCGGTCACGCCGCGTTGACAGCAGTGTCTCGTGACAGTCTTGCGTGTTGGCCTTTCCACAGAGACCCAAAATTACAGAAGCACGTCATACTTGGACGGGACATGTGAAAGGTCCTGGCCTGAGACCATCTCAGACCCTGTCAACTTGAAGCAATCGCTCGCAGAGGAGATCTGGAAGAAGGTCCTGGATAAGGCGAACCAGCGTCACAGAATTCATGAAGGGTTCTCCGGGTTCGTTGATTCTGCGTTAGCCCGGGATAGCTGCATGTAGTTTGACAGCAGAACCGATAGTGAAAGACGTTTGAATTACAGCCTCCATCTTGCATCTGACGAGCTGGAGTGCTTTGTGTTTCTCTTCCGTGATGGCTCATCATAGCGATAGCAAGCTGCCAGGTCATCAGTGCAGACCGAGAACAAGTCTTCTTGGCTCTTACGGCTCACCCTGACGGAAGCCTTGTTGAACTAGAGGAAAACCTCGGCAGCGTCTCTGTAGACTTACGAACACTCAGTACAGTACTGGAAATTGGCGCGACTCGCGGAAGCAGGGAAGGATGGGCAATGCCTTCAGTCTTAGGCAGTTTTAGGCATTGCATCCCGGCGTCTTCAGCTCCAGGCCCAGTGAAGGGTGCAGACAGCATCGTGAAGTAGTAGTATGTAGTAGTCATAGTCGTCGTCGTAGAACTGCAGCAGCAGCAGTGGCGGTAGGCCTTTTGTTTTTTTTTTTGGAATTGCCTCCAGGTTGGCAAATTGCGTTTCCTTTTCGACTTTCGGGTGGCCAACGACTCGCCCCTTTTGGGGTCGATTACGGCTTCGGGGTGAAAAAGTCAACACTTTCGCGGTTTTCACTTACTCCTTTTATGGTTTGAGTCCTTTTCAGGTGTCCGCCTTGCCTCCGATTTAAGACAGGTATACAATCGCCTGATGAAGGTCTGGGTTTAAGAATCGTGACCCGCCATCGCTCAAGAGGCGGAGGATGTCAGAATCGCGACAAACCCGTCTTAGGAGCAGGGGCCTAGTGCAAGCCGGGCGTGGGTAACATGATTGCCCCAGCTCATGCCGGGCCTTTCCAAACTTTCACACCTTCGAACTCTCTAACTTGATTGTCAGAGCCCGGCGGAGGCTCAAACTTAGCGGAGCCTTCGAACTCTCGAACTTTCAGAATGGTGTCCCGAGCGAGGTCCTTCGAACTCGAAGGTTCGAGAGTGTGATCGCTGGAAGCTTTGAAGTTTGCAAGCTTCAATCGTTGAAGTTTGGAAGGTTTGGGAGGTGCTTGGGCATCTTGGTATGCGCAAGCGAGCGGGCGTCAAACTTCAAACGTTTCAAACTCGAAAATTTCAAGCTTTCCGACTCTCGAGCTTTCGACATTTCGAACTCGACTAGCTGCTTCAAACTCGATTTTCTGGTCGGCCGAAAGTCTCTAAACCCTAAACCGTAAAGCCTAAACCCTAAACCCGAAACTGCTTCAAAGTTCGTTCGACAGGTTCAATGTTTGGAAGTTCAAACCCTTGAGAGATCGAAAGTTAAGAGTTTGAAAAGTTGGCTTCAGGTTCGGCCCGCGGGCTGGCCCCTGAGGTCGAGACGGATTTAAGCGATTTGGAGTTGGGAAGTTGGAAAGTTTGAGCGACATGAAAGTTCAAGAGTTTAAGAATTCGAAGGTTTGGAGTTTCAACAGTTTGAAGGTTCGAAAAGCTTTGAGTTCGAAAGTAAGACGGTCCACCGAGTTCCTTTGTCTTAGCGTGCTCTTTGATTTTCAGTAGAAGACATTCACGTGGATTGTTTATTTATCCATTTATTTTGGGAGGTAACTTTTTGAACGTAAAAATTGGTCAGAAAAGGTTCAGAGTTCGAACGTTTCAACATTCGGGATTGAAAAGTGTCAAACTTTCAAAAGCCGCCGCAGGTGCGAGACTTTAAGCTCGCATCCTCTTCAAAGTGATGGCGGTAAGCTGATGTCTTAAACCCGACCCCTTGCTAGACGGTGGTGCTTGATCTCTCTTAAACCTCAATGGCGGTTTATTTCCTGTGTCAAATCGCCCTCGCAATTCTCTCACCAGGGGAGTACGGTTGATCCTATATCTTAAACCTGGCCACTCATGCGGCGAGTGCGGTGGAACTCATATCTTAAGCCCGTCCCCCATAAGGCGATGGCGGTTGATCCAATGTCTCTTCATGGCCTAAACCCGCCCCTTCATTGGGCGATGGCGGTCGATCCCGTATCTTGAATTGGCCCCCTTACGAAACGATGGCGATTCAGCTTAAATGTCAAGCCTGACCTCTCTTCAAAGAACGGCGCTTGATCTCATATCTTGAGCCCGGTCCCCCAAAGGCCCTGCGATAGCAGTCTAT